TTTTTTTTTTTTTAAAAAAAATATATATGAAATTTTAATTATTATGAAATAAGATATATTTTATAAATTGAATAGAATACACATATGGCACAATAGTTTATTTAATATTTGATTATAAAATTTTAAATTAATAACATAAATGAGTAATATTAATACACATTAAACATTTATCAGTGTATAAAAAAAGAATACTACATTCATAATCGTTACAAATAATAATAATGACATTATATGATAATAAACTTTAGAATAAAAAAATATATGAATATTATACGATGAACAAAAATAAGTACATTATTATTTTTCATATATCAAAGATAAATATTTAGAAAGATTGCAATGCGTGGCCAAAAGACTATTATTATTTTTAAATTTGATTAGGTGTGAATAATATATCTGTTTTGCTATTTATTTATTATATTATTGATATTAAATTTGTCAAATTATTTGTCAAATTTGTCAAATTATTAACTGCCATATACAAATCTTCTAAATTTGCTATAGTCAAGCTAAACCTTATTAAATCATACCAAACGCCCAAAAATTATTTACATAACTCCATCAAATACAATCGGCCCAAATTCATTTAAATCATTCCAAATACATCCTAAGCTCAAGTTTTTCTCATTAAGTCAAAACGATGTCGTTTTGGACTAGTTGTAATCAAAAATTGAGCGGGCTACTTAAATGAACCGCGCGTGAAATAACATTTGGATTTTCCAGCAATTATCAGTGTTCCAGATTTTATCTTTCATTTTTGATTTCTTCATTTATGTGGATGTATTTAAATCTCACGTGGATGCATTTGATTGAAATTGAGAACCCAATTATTTGGATGTGCATTTTGATAGAATAGTACTACCTAATAATTTTGTAACTATAAGAGTCTTTCACCAAATAGTAATTTGTGACTTAACTTTAACATACAATAATGTCTTCTAACTCTAGACTCCCTCCTCAATACATGTAACATATATAGTGCTATCAGCATTGTAAAGTTTGTCACAAAAACTACTAGACAATTCTAGCACACACATTACAGTACATTACCAACATTCAAAACTTCTTACAAATTTTAGAAATTACAGAAACTTTTACACTTTTGGTCTCATCAATTTATGAAAAGTCAACTTATACTAGCTAGTCTTTCCTCATTTACTCCCAAAGTTAAATTTCCTAGAATCGGCCTTGATAATTTAACAGTCCGTACATGTTGTACGTGAAATTTTCGGGTAACGTTGTCGATATATATTTTACCGTTCCCTCCGTACATGCCGCACAAGTCGCGTGCCTATAATGACGTACGTCATCACAGCTCATGTGAATTTAAGATGGAAACATTTCCAAGAAAGCTGTCTAACAACCTTTGTTACTATGTAATGAAAACCTTAAAGCTGTGCAAAGCATGAGTAGGATATTACCAACGAGACCCACCAATTTTCGGATGAGCCCTTTATTACTATCCTTAACGGGACTGTCCCGTTAAAAAACACATACACACGCACAAAAACAAAGTGAATATTCTCTATTTTCTCGATTTATATAAAGAGCGTCTTGTTCTACCATTTTCTTGCACCTCAAATCATATTCTATAGTGTAGTTTTCAGTCTCTCTGTTTGAATCGGTAAGCTGTTTCGACTTTCGAGCTCCTTTCTAAAACTTTTTAGTTCAATCTTTTCTTGGTTCTCGGTTGATTTTCAGACGAGTTTTGAGCTATTTTTGATTCTTTTTTCATATATCTTGTAGTAATGGTTTAGTTTAATTTATCTTATTTTATAAGATTTTTTTTATTTGTGAATAAATCCTTGCTTTTGCATGTTGAATCTACAGCTCCTTTCATTTGCTGTTCATATTATGTTTGTGGTTTTCCTTTTTATTATGTAGTTATTATTTTTATTTTTATTTTTAAATTAAAAAATTTTATCATTTTTTTTTTCTAGTTTAAATAATTTCAACTATTAGTAATTCTCACTGTTTACAACCTCACTTAATTTTTATTACTAATTTATTATTTTACTATTGTCATATCAATTTCAATAAAAACATTTCAAACTCTAGTTCATTGAATAAACTCAACCTTAATTTCTTTTTTTTTTCAGCCTAAGAATTTGAGATATGGACAGCAGCCAGCAATTCACCAATCTGTCCTCCCAATCATTGAGCTCAACCGATGCCGACTCCGAAGTCAACCCAAGCCCCGACCAAAGTCAAACCTCCCAATCAACAAACTCGAACCATGCTAACTCCGAAGTCAACCCGAGCCTCGAACAAAGTCAACCCTCCAATGTAGTCACTCTGGTGACATCATCATCACCCATCCCCAACGACGAACCCAAATACTGGCTCTCGAACGGCTTCACCCTACACTACAAGAAAATAGAATTTTAGTGACGGATGTTTTTGTCACTATGTTGTCACTATATCTACTGTCACTATTTCTACAATTGTCACTGCAACATCAATAGGTAACACTTTTGGTATCACTTTACAAATAGGTAACACTTTTGGTAACACTTTACAAAAATAAGTGTTACCAAAAACTACCTAAAGTATTACCTATTGTAAAGTGATACATTAGATGTTGTCACTATATCTAAAACATTGTAGATATGGTGACAACAATTGTAAAAATAGTGACAACAATTGTAGAAATAGTGACAGTAGATATAGTGACAACATAGTGACAAAAACATCCGTCACTGGAACTCTATTTTCTTGTAGTGCTAGTCCCGACCACCGATTCGGTGTACAACACCATCAATGCAAGGTTGCTGTCGAGTTTGCATGCTAATCGGGTCCACGCCCGCACGGAGTCCATTTACAAGCACGATTATTGCTTGAGCATTAGGAGCCGCGTGAGGTTCGGGTGTTTCCATGTGTGCTTTGTGGCCACCGAGAGGATGCGCCGAGGAGGTCCGAACATAATTAAGTACGGTTGGTATGGTGCGTCGAAAAGCGAGATTAACAAGATTCTTGCGCACGGATTCGGGCTCCCGACAAGCAATAACCGGGTTTCTCCGCGTGGTGTTTATTTCAACTCTCTCGAGCAAGCAATAAACGGGTAAGATTGAATTAGGTTTTTTGGGCTAAAAAGGGAAAAGAAAAGTAGACTTTTTTTTTTACTTTTTATTTGTTGCTTACAAGGATTTCAATTTTGAAAGCTATCTAGGTTTAGGTTGTTTCTAAGTTAAAAAACACACCATATGAATGGAATCATTAATACTACTTTCAGTTTGGAGTCTTCGATTGCGGATGAGGAAGGCGTGAAGCATATGTTGCTCTGTCGTTTGTTAATGGGAAACATGGAGGTCGTCAATCCTTTCTCCGGGCAAGAGAATCCGAGTTCTGAAGCATTCGACAATGGGGTGGATGATCTCACCCATCCCAAGAAGTATCTCGTCTGGCACACCAAGATGAATACTCACGTGCTGCCTGACTTCGTCGTCAGTTTCCGAACATCTCCGTGCACCGGCGGTAAGAGTTATGTAAAAGTTATGCAATCAATAGAAAACATTAACAACATATGATCCTCGCGAATTAACTACTTATAGAAAAAGTAAATGTTATTATAACTTCAACCATGTGTCGTCGCACGTTGTATTTTTGCACGTGCTCTCAATAGACACGCCACTAGTGAAGTACATTTTACGATCAATGGATTAATCAATACTCGAACTCTAGATCTTGAAACGTGTATCCAACTTGTGCCATGTGGTCACACGTGTTATATATTTCATTGGTAGACACCACTAGTGAATAATACGTTACGATGATTGATAATTAGTCGATTAAGACCCGATCTCTGGACTTGAAATGTGCATCCGACTTGCCATTTTTGTCGCACGTGCTATATTATTGTACGTGTGTACGTTGTCGGTAGACTCTACGTACTCATGTTACGATCTATCGATTCAGTACTTGAACCCTAGACTTAAAAATTGTATCCGACTTGCCAAATCTACAAATCGAATATAATGTGTCGGTCCATCAAGCATATTTTTGGTACCAAAACCGGAATGTATGTTCCCCAATATTTTTATATGGACTAAAAGGCAATATCCTAAAATTCAAGGTCTAACTAGGAATAATTATTTTATTTGTCACCAGCATGTTTGAGGGTTTTACAGCCTGTGAGAGCTTCGATACCTATCCCAACTCTCATTAATGCCCTCTCTAGCGTCTTGCCAAGGAACAGCCTCAAGCTGGTTATCGAGAGATACAAGGACTATAGAGTAAGTGATCATATTTAAATTCTTTCTATATATATATATATGTTGTTAAATACTAGTACACAATTTAATTAATTAATTAGTTAATTGATTGATTAAGTACTCTAATTTAATTCATAAATATTAAATACTAAATCCAACCTTAATTTTTGATATTTACAGACTCGCAAAATAAAGAGGCATGAAATGGTTCAAACCTTAAGGAGCGTGGTTGGAGACAGGTTGTTGCATGCCATTTTGAAATCTTATGAGAAGGTATAATTTTTGTGCAATTAAAATATTAAATTATATTGCACATTAATTGGTTGTATATATTTATTAGGTACATTAGATTATTAAAATCCTTTGAATTATCAATTTTTTTTGTTAGAAGTCTAACAGCTAGCTAGACAACCATATTTTATAAATATGGTAATGATTTATCGTTCTTTTTTTCACTTCAATCACATTTTTTTTCAACCCTGCTATCTCACCATCACCATAGTAAACAAATAGAAAATATCCCTTAATATCCCTTTTATACGTATGTTTCATAATTTTACTCATAGTAAAATTTCTTTACATATAAAAAACTCAGGTCTGCTGCTTAATTTTACTCATAGTAAAATTTCTTTACATATAAAAAACTCAGGTCTGCTGCTTGATGGTTAGACATACTAATAACATTGAATTAAATAGGTCTATTGCTTAATGGTTAGACATACTAATAACATTGAATTAAATATTATGGTGTGTTCTTTGCAGTTATTAATAAAAAATCTCTCTCTCTCTTTTTTTTTGATTTGCAAATATAAAAGGAGAAAAAGCCCAAGTAGCACCAAAACTCAGAAGACGAATGGCCTATATATGCAATATCAAATGGTCGGGTATTATCAAGGCTTGTTGTCTATTAAACAAAAAAATATTTGGAAATGTTCTGTTTAATTAATTGAAATGTTCTGCTTAATTAATTTGGTAAATGCCATTGCAAGTATTGTACTCTGATGTATTGGTGGCATTATCTTGTAGATATTGTCACCCAATATTACACTACAAAAAAAACTCTTACATTCCAACGGAAATTTTCCGTTGGATTTTTTTATATTTCTGTTGGAATAGCTATTTCAACGGATATTCCTACGTAAAAAAATCTGTTGGAAAAACGGCCGTTGGAATAGCAAATATCAAACGGAAAATCTTATGGAAATAAATTCCTACAGCTATTTCAACGAAAAAAATCCATTGGAATTCCTCAACTATCCAACACTTATTCCAACATAAAATTAAGTTTGTTTGAATATTCATTGGAATTTCCAACGGAATTTTTTTGCCGTTGGAATTGTAGTGTTTTTTTGTAGTGTTATGCATTAATTGTTAGTTTATTAGTGACACATAATTATTATTATTATTATTATTTTGGTACAAAGAAGGAGGCGATAGCCTTAACTACGATATTACGAGGATAGGCTATCGTTAGAACATCATGTTCCAGTCACGGTTTCACCCCTGTGGGAGGGACACCTAATTATTATGGAGTTACTAATTGCTACGAATGAAATTATCCAAAATTCAAAAGGTTCATAAATATTTATCCAAAACATTGTGGTTCCGTAACATAATAAGGAGAACATTTCCAAAGAAACACAATCAAAAAAACATTATCCGAAATACATACACTATATTTATCATGTAAACTAGTGTTTTTTTATGTTCCTAAAAAAAAAAAAAATGTCCTTAAGAATTAGGGCATCTTTTATGTTGATTTCAAATAAACATTATCACCTCATAAAAGTCGTCATATTGTTTGCGCTCCAAATCCAATCATAAACTTTATAAATTACTTTGACTCCAATTACATCAAAATATTAGTTTTACAATATTACTAATTAATCACCATTTTATTTTTGTTACTCTTTCAACAACTGCGAATACTTTCATACTTACAATCTCATACTTTAAAATACAATATAAGCAAAATTATATTATTTAATAGTATAATTTCTTTTTAAATATGTTTGTTTAACGATTTATTGTTTACGAAAGGAATTATTCGTTGTTAATAATTATGAACAAATCTATTGTAAATTCGTTGGAGTTTACTAATAGACATTTTCCGTCACTATTTTCCAACTGAATAGAAAGAAATATTTTTCCGTTACAATATTTTGTTAGTACTTGTTGATAATCCGTATAAAAAGATTATATATATATATATATATGTATATATATAATACATTTTTAATATGTTGGTGATTTGTTGGTAATTCCCAGCTAAAATTTATCTGTTGATAAGGTTTTAAAAGGCGTTGGGCGCTCGATAGGTGGCAGGTTGGGCTTAGAGCCTAGAGCAGTTAGGCGAGGATTAGTCGGACCTGGGCGGGTCATAAAAAAGTACTAATAAATTTATTTATATATATATCATGCTTCAACTTGTACACTATACTTCATAAAATATACTAATAAGTATTGTTAATTAATTTTTTTTAAAACAAATTCTATACTTATAATTTATTATATTAATTTAATTCAATTATTAATTTTTTATATTTAATAATTATTGTACATTTCGTGTACACAAATTAAAATTTGTAAAAATAAAAAAAATTATAAAAAAATTATACGAGCACCTAAGAAATGGACCGTCTGGGTCGCCGCCTAGACTGCCTATTCGCAACCGCCTAGGGTAGGCGGCGCCTAGCCCGCCTATGCGCCTCCCGAGCGCTTATAAGCGCTGTCTAGGAGGAAATCGGGGCAACTGAGTCGCGGCTTAGGCGCCACCTATCACGATTTTTAGTACAATGTTTGTTGATGATTTCTATTGACATTTGGACAATTCCTTAGTGTTAGTGAGCCTAACAACAACTTTTTGTGTTCATTTTTATGCCAATTCATCACTAGTCAAATAAACCAACTTAATTGAAAAGGCCAAATGTCAATTTCATACATTTCTAAGAGGTATTTTACCAACTTTCAAACTTCACTAGCAAAGTAAATCATAATCCAAAATAGAGTAAGGTCGAACCCCAGCTTGTATATAGAATAATTTAAAATAGGTAAAAGTCACGTATCTACAAGTTCAATGTCTGATATACATCAAACTCGAAAAAAACAGAAACAGGGCCAAGAAAGAAACAAAGAAAAAGAAAAATCAAACTTTCCTAAAATAAACTACATCTTGTAGAAGATCAGGTTGGTTACCAGCACTTCTTGGTCCACTACTCAGTTAAACAACTTTAAAACATTTGCCCCTTCAGAGGAAAAAAAACAGGAATAGAATGATTCATACCTACGTTATTTTCACCGAGCCCACGATGATACCTTAAAATCCCATTTAGCCGAAATAAAAAAGAGTTTCCTTGAATTCAAGCTTCCTCCCATGGCCGGACTCGAAGAGCTGAGGAAAAAGCTCGCGCCCCTCTTCGATGCCGAGAAGGGTTTCTCATCTGGGTCAACAATTGATCCTACTGATTCTTACATGGTAAAAATGTGTTCTTTTTTTGAAGAAAATTTTTGCCTTTTGATCCTGTTTTCCATATTTTCTTGCTGATTCATATGCCAGATTGAATAAAGAAACATAATTTGCTGTGTGGGCAGGTCTCAGATGGTGGAACCGTGAATTTGCTGAGCAGATCATACAATATTTACAACATAAACGAGATGGGCCTTCAGAAATGTAGCTCATCATCATCGTCTTCGTCGCCATGGCCGTTTTTGGCTGATGAGGGCGAGAAAACGTACAGATGTGCTTCTCATGAGATGAGGATTTTTGGGTCAATCGGCTGTGGAGCCAGCAGTGTTGTTCAGAGGGCTATTCATATACCAAATCACAGAATTATTGCTCTCAAGAAGATTAATATCTTTGAGAAGGTTCACTCTCTCTCTCTCACTCTCTCTCTCTCTCTCTCTCCCTCTCTCTCTCTGTGTGTGTGTGTGTGTGTGTGTGTGTGTGTGTGTGTGTGTGTGGTAGTTGCTTAGATTCTGGTGTAGCCTGGGGTTTTTCTTGATGGGTACTTGAGGAATTGCTTTGGTGTTTGTGAATGGCTGCTTGATTGCTCTGCTGTTTCTGAATGATTTGGTTGCGATAACTTTTCGAAGTTTCGCTGTAAAAAGACAGCTTTGATTTGATGATCTCCATACTGCAGTAGTAAAATAAATTATTTTCATTTATTGAACTACCTTGACTTGGCAGTTTAACCACGGAGACTAAATTATTCAAATTTTTAAGATTTTCGTTTATATGAACCATCACAATTAGCTAGTGCTAGATTCGTAGAAGTTCTGATACATGAAAGATATCAATGAATCATTATGTATTCTTCTTGCATAAGAGTTTGTTGTTTAGAATTTAAGCAAACTCACTTAAGCAAGGATGGGGACAAAAGGAAAGAAATTAGGTACGCTTCGAAAAGAAAAGTATAAATTTGAAGGTGGAATCAGGTTGAACAAGTAGTATGTAGACGATAAAATATTGTGTATTCGTCTAATTGAGTGATATTTGTGGTTCTCTCAGGAAAAAAGACAGCAGCTTCTTACTGAAATAAGAACATTGTGTGAAGCCCCATGCCATGAAGGCCTTGTCCAATTTTATGGTGCTTTTTTTACACCAGACTCTGGACAGATAAGCATAGCTTTAGAGTACATGGATGGTGGATCTTTAGCAGATGTAATTCGCATACGTAAAAGTATACCAGAACCTGTTCTTTCTGTAATGGTGCACAAACTCTTAATAGTGAGTGGTTTTATCATTCTCAATTTATACTCACCGTATAAGTAGTGTCTGTGAGTGTGACTATCCCTATGGTGTAGCCTTATTACATATTTTCACATTTTTTTTTTTCAAATTTACAAATAATCCGTTGTCGCTTTTCTCTTTAAAAAATTATACCTTTATTAGAGGCGTATTTTTGGGTAAGGTTAAACCTTGGGGATTAGTTTTGTAATTATCCCATCTTGTTACCTTTATTTTCTTTTTTTAAGTTTTATTTTTAAACTTAAGCATTGTGTTTGAAAACTTTTCTTTATTTTCTAAGGGACTAAATTACTTGCACGGAGTTAGACACTTAGTCCACAGAGATATCAAACCTGCAAATTTGCTCATAAACCTCAAGGGCGAGACGAAGATTACAGATTTTGGTATAAGTGCTGGCTTAGAGGATTCGATGGCTATGGTTCGTGCTATTTGTCTAGTAAACTTATCTGTTGGCCTTCTCGTATATATATTATCGAATATTTTAAATTACCGTATTGATGCTATCTTTTAATTATTGCATTTCAGTGTGCAACTTTTGTTGGAACTGTCACGTATATGTCTCCTGAGAGAATTCGTAATGAAACTTATTCTTATCCGGCTGATATTTGGAGCCTTGGCCTTGCGCTTTTCGAATGTGGGACTGGTGAGTTTCCATACAGTGCAAATGACGGTCCTGTTAATCTTATGTTACAGGTAAACACACACTGGAATGCAGCCTTTTGCATTGTACTAAATAAAAATTTCCTTCATTTTTTATGATATGCTATATATATATATATATATATAATATGTACGCATAAACAAGAAAGAAAGAAAGAAAGAAAGAAAGAAAGAAAGAAAGAAAGAAAGAAAGAAAGAACGATTTATTTATTTATTTTTTTTTTTTGGTAATATTCAAATTTTAGTGCAATTCTTGATAATTAACATATCTGAATTTTGACATTTATGATGTCAATATCTGTTGAAGATTTTGGATGATCCATCTCCTTCATTGTCCGACAAGAATTTCTCTCCCGAATTTTGTTCGTTTGTTAATGATTGCCTCCAGAAAGATCCAGCTGACAGGCCTACAGCCGAGAAGGTGAGTAAACAATAGATTTATATTATATTAGGATATTGAAGTATGAATAATAACTCTGTCCTCACTCCACACTGAGTTAATTTTTATTTTCTCGTTTTTCTCTCGTGTTTTGCAGTTACTTTCACATCCATTCATCAAAAAGTATGAGGATGCTGGGGTTAAGTTGGAAACTTTTGTCCAAAGTATATTTGAGCCGACTCAGAGGTTGAAGGATCTAGCAGATGTGAGTTGAGCTTTGATTTCTCCGAATTTTTTTTGTCTAATATGGGTCCGTTTTGTTGTATTTGCAAACATGAACCACAATAGTGGAATCTCCTTGAGTAATTGATATTCTCTGCTCGAGAAACACTCTGAGTGCATGTTTATTTTATCCCATGACATGCTCGATCAGATGCTGGCAATCCACTATTACTTACTCTTCGATGGAGTGGATGATCTTTGGCATTACGTGAAGACTTTCTATGAAGAGGATTCGGTTTTCTGGTAACAAATATTGTTTAATGGCCAAAATTTGTGAAAGCACTCGGGATCAACCTAAACTCGAAAAACCAACTAATCGCATTACAGATAACCCCGTAAAAATATCGGGTTTATTATTATTATTATTTTTTTTTCTGTTAGAAAAATCAGTTGCAGTTATGTGAATTCTGGTTTTACTCACGACTTGCAGTTTTGGCGGGAAAGAGTCGGTTGGGCGAGATGAAATTTTTTTGACATTATCACAGATTCGAATGACATTGAACGGAAATTGGTCTTCTCAGAAGCTCGTGCATGTTGTTGAAAAACTTCAGTGCCGTGCTCAAGACCAAAATGCGATTGCAATTCGTGCAAACGGGTCGCTTATAATCGGGAATCAGTTCTTGATTTGTGGGGATGGCGTGCAAGTAGAGGGCTTGCCTACTTTTTCGGATCTTTCGATCGACTTACCTACCGTGCGTGTGGGGACATTTCACGAGCAGTTTATAATGGAAAAATCGGATATTATCGGCCAGTACTTTATTTCAAAACAAGAGCTACACGTTGTTCAATAATTATGAATCAGAAAAAAGTTTGCGAAGGTCAGTGTTAATAAACACATTGTTTGATAAATACGAATCCTTGAGATTTAGTATATTTTGAAAATTACAAAGACCCCCTTTGATGTTTTTGCCTCTGAACGAAGATTTTTTCAATGCCTCGAGGGGGTTATAACTGTTGAGCTGAATGTCAAGGATAGTATTTGTTACTGTCTGTTAATATTTTTTATAATGGCCTCTCCTTTACTTCTATCTGTAGGACAATAATGCCATCTCGGTGTGGATTTACGGCAAGTTATCAGCTGTCCGGTTTTAGTTATCAGCTGCAAGCTTAGCGAATTCGTAACTTTAATATCCTTAGCTTTGCTGAAGGATATTTACTCGTGGTTCAGAGTCCAGCATTAGTTTAAACAAAGTTTAATCATGGAAATTGCCCCTGAGGTTTACTGTAATCTTCAAAATAAACGCTTACCGTTTAGAATTACAAATAGCGCTTTGCGGTTCGCCTTTTGCCTTACAAATGGATCGACACTGCAATTCTTCTTGAAGGTAGGCTTCTGCAAGGTAAGTGCAAACGTCGAGGGGTTTTTCTTGAATACTGAGATGATTGGGGGGCTTTTATCTAAATTAGGTCTTAACTTTACGAGCTAGCTCGTGTGTTTGGAGAAAATGTG